GCAAAAAAAAAAAAAAAAAAAAAAAAAAAAAAAAAAAGCAATAGAGCAATGGAATATTATTCAGCCATAAAAAGGAATGAAGCACTGATACATGCTACCATATGGAATAATCGTGAAAACACCATGCTAAGTGAAAGAAGCCGGACACAAAAGGCCACATATTATATCCAGAATAGGTAGATTCATAGACACAGAAACTGGTGGGTTCCCTGGGGCTTAAGGGAGGTGGAGAGTAGGGAGTGACTGCTAATAGGTACAGTGTTTCATTTTTGGGGTGATGAAGATGTTCTGGAACTAGACAGAAGCAGTGGTTGCACAATATTGTAAATATACTAAACACCACTGAATTGTTCACTTTAAAATGGTTAACTTTATATGAATGTTACCTCAATTAAAAAAAAAGTAGGGGCTTCCCTGGCTGGCACAGTAGTTAAGAATCTGCCTGCCAGTGCAGGCGACACGGGTTCGAGCCCTGGTCCGGGAAGATCCCACATGCCGTGGAGCAACTAAGCCCGTGCACCACAACTACTGAGGCCCGCGCGTCTAGAGCCCATGCTCTGCAACAAGAGACGCCACTGCAATGAGAAGCCCGCGCACCGCAACGAAGAGTAGCCCCCACTTGCCACAACTAGAGAAAGCCCGTGCGCAGCAATGAAGACGCAACGCAGCCAAAAACAAATAAATAAAATAAATAAATTTATTAAAAAAAAAAGTAATACATGCCTATTGTGGACAGCTAAGAATGCACAGAAAATTAAGATGAAAATAAAAATCCCCTCTAATCTTTCCCCCAGAGGCAACCACATGAAATTTTCTCATGTTTTCCCTTCCAATCTGTTTTCTAACAACATTCATGGGATGGTCACACTTGATATGTGGGAGTGTGGCCTGGTTTGCCCCCACTTGGTGTCAACATGAGTATTTTTTCCTATAGTTATAAGTGCTTCTATCTTTAATGGCTGCACATACCACTGAGGAAATACCCTGTGCTTTACTTACCTGGCCCCCAACTGCTAGACACTTAGATTGTTTCCAGTTTGTCACTGTTGGAAACAACGATAAAGAGATAGCTTGTATATAAAATTCTGCCCCCATTCTGGACATTTCCTTTGATCCCCAAAAGCAGAGCTCCCAAGTTAGTGTCAACCACATTCATTTCCTTCCCAGAGGACTGCTAATTCCTCTGTGCTTAGCCTTCACTCTTGTCAGGGGCACGAGGGGGATAACCTGGCACTCTTCCCCTTGCTGAACTCCTCACAGACCCTTCACAGGAAACCCCCAACTATGCAAAGGTTTCCCTCTATGATCTTGCCTTTTTTTTTTTTTTTTTTATGGTACACGGGCCTCTCGCTATTGTGGCCTCTCCCGTTGCGGAGCACAGGCTCCGGACACGCAGGCTCAGCGGCCACGGCTCACGGGCCCAGCCGCTCCGCGGCATGTGGGATCTTCCTGGACCGGGGCACGAACCCGTGTCCCCTGCATCGGCAGGCGGACTCTCAACCACTGCGCCACCAGGGAAGCCCTATGATGTTGCCTTTTTAATTTCTTTGCTGCCTTGTTTCTGACCCCACAGTGGGAGAGCACTGTACAGGGAGTCAGGAGACCTGCGTTCTCCTCTGGTCTCTGAATAACTGTGAGTATGTCTCCTCCTGTTTGGCTTCAGTTTTCCTGTTCAGTGGGAGAGTTAGATTAAACTGTTTCTCATGATTCTTTTCCCCGCAACACTGTGTCTCATCTACATGTGTAAGCCCTATCTAGCACACAGTAGGCACTTAATAAATGTTTGGGACCAGTTTCATGGAAGACAGTTTTTCCATGGACTGGCGGGGGAATGGGGGTGGGGGGATGGTTCAGGCCAGCGATGGGGAGCCATGGGGAGCGGGGATGAAGCTTCACTTGCTCACCCGCTGCCCACCTGCTGTGCGCGGCCCGGTTCCTAACAGGCTGTGGGCTGGTACCGGTCCACGTCCCGGGAGTTAGGGAGCCCTGGTGTACACAGTAAGGGCTCAGCAGATTATATGGGTGGAGCAGTGTAGGCTCCCAGCAGGGTAAGCCCCTCTCTACCCTTTCCAGGGACCGGGAAGGGGAGGGATCTTGGGGAACTCCTGGCTTCCAGCAACAATCAGAGGCTTGGGAATCAGGACACTTGCTCCGAGTCGCCACCATGGGGCAGCAGACAATGTAAAATGGAGTGGGAGTGCTGAAGCCAGCATCCAGTTCTAAGTCAGCTGTGGTCTACACTGTGTTGTACTACCTCGTGCTGGGTGCAGGGGTGTGACTAGGTCCCTGGCTGCAAGAATCCCCCAGACTGGTGGGAGGGACAGCCACATGAGCAGAGCCATTTGTAACATGAATAAATGCAACAATGGAGACATAATAATGATAATGTAATGAGGACAGCTAACTTTTCAGGGGCACCTTCTACATACTAGACCCCAGTTGAGTGCTTGCCAGGCCTGATCTCATTTGATCCTCACACAACCTTAAGAAGGGAGTACAAATACTGTGTCCATTTTAAAGATGAGAAAATGAAGGCACAGAGAGGCTAAGCGATTTGCCCATGGTCACATGGTTAATAAAGAGCAGAGACAAAATTTGCAGCCAGGTCACTCTGGCTCCAATGCACCAAACAATACAGGTCATTATGGGGGATCCAAGGAGAGGTGGTATCCAATCCACCTGGATGGGGATGAGGGGCTTCCTGGAGATGACTTCTGAGTTGAGTTGTAAAGTATAAGCAGGAGTTGGCCAGATGAAAGGTGGCTGGGGTGAGGATGGCATTAGGGGCACAGGGAACAGGAATGAGAATAAGCATGACCATTATAAACAGTTCATGTGAGAGGCACGGAGGGGTCAGGAGGAGTCTGAAGACTATAATAGGGCCTGTAGGCCTTGTTGAAGACTTGGGATTTTATCTGAGGGTAATGGGGAGCCATGGAAGGATTTCGAATAGTGATATGACCATGTGTGTCCTCTAGAAAGATCCCTCTGGCCTCTGGGTGGAGAATGAGCCAGAGCATGGCCTACAATGTCACTGGCAAGACCAGTAAATAGGCTACTGCAATAGTCCCAGCAAGTGATGATGGTGGCTCACTAGGCTGGTGGCAGTTGGGGTGGGGATGGACAAGCTTGAAAGAAGCACTCAGAAGCTAAGTGACCCCTGGATGGGGTAAGGGTTAGGGTTAGAGTTAGCGTTAGGGTTAGGGTTGTTGGAATTTCCAGGAGTGGATTAACTCATCTAGGAAGAGTAAGAAAGTCAGAGGGCCTGGGGCGGAGCTCTGGGGGAACCCCATGTTTGAGGGGTTGATGAAGAAAGTGCACTGTGATAGGCTAAATAATGGTCCCCCAAAGATATCCATGTCCCAATCCCTGGGACCTGTGAACATGTTACCTCACATGGCAAAAGGGAGTTTGCAGATGTGATTAGAGTTAAGAATTTTGAGATGAGGAGATTATCCTGGATTATCTGGGTGGACCCCACATAATCACAATGGTGCTTATAAGAGGGAGGCAGAAAGATGAGAGAGAGACAGAGACAGAGACTAAAGATGCTATGATGCTAAGATGAAGGAAGAGGCCAGGAGGCAAAGAATCTGGGTGCCCTCTAGAAGCTGAAAAAGGCAAGGAGACGGATTTTCCCTAGAGCCTCCAGAAAGAGCAGCTGTTAGCCCAGTGAGGCTGACTTTGGACTCCCGACTTCCAGAACTGTAGGATGATAAATTTATGCTGTTTTTAACCACTGAGCTCTGAGTGTGGCACCCACTGGGGAAGCGTAGGAGGCATGGTTTGAGAGGTGGGAGGAAGCCAGGGGAACAGTGTCTCACTGGGAACTAGAAAGTAAGGTGCAAGAAGGAAGGTGAGACCGATGGTCGGGGGTGAGGCTCAGGCCTCTGTGCTTGACAAGCTCCTGTGTGAATACTGGTCACTGTGCCTCCTTAAAGTTGAGGACATTTGGACAACCCAGACCAGGAATGC